GCCCCTTTTCGGGGGGTCCTCCAAGGGTTTCTTGGCAAAATTCTGGGCCGATTAAGCCTTGGATTGGTCGCCCCCGCGGTTTTCGCGGTGGCCCTTTTGAAGGGGAGCCCCCCTTTTTAAAACCCATTTCCTTTTTGGCAAACGGGGAAAAACACCCCCCCACCGGGGGGCGCCGCCCCCCCAAGGGCCAGGATAAAGGTCTTTTTGGGGGGGCCCCCCCCCAAATTTTGCTCCGGGGGGGGGGGGCCCCCCCCCCCCTCCCCCCCCCCCCCCCCCCCTCCCCCCCTTCCCCTCGCCTGCACCCCACGACCCCACGCCGTCCTCTTGCAGTTCGCACACCATATGAGACACCATTCGAGATTCGAGTCGTCGCGTCGCCCGCGCCCAGAAAGTTTCTCGGAAAGTTCACCACCCTTCTGTGGCGATCGTGATAGCTACGAGTAGTCGCGACCAGACGCAAGGCGAAACGTGGTCAGGCGCGCCGCCCTCTCCGCCCGCTTCGGCCGCGGCGACGGCAAGACAGAGGCGGAGGCGGAGGAAAGCAGCAGCAACTTCGCGGCGTCCAACCAGCCGAGCCACTGGTGCGACCAGCCGGGGGAGCAACCCTCCAAACCTCTCCCCCCCCACCGGCCCCGGCCACACTCAGCTGAGGCCCGCCCTCCGCGCAGGTTCGGCTGGCGAGCCCCCCCGGAGGCTGTGCCACCGCCTGTCCAACTGCCGGCGACGCCTTCGCCCCGTGGGCGGCATGCCACCTTCTCCCTCATGTCACCGGGCCTCGCATCGCTCATGCGGGCACTATCGGCAAGAGCGCGACGCGGCCCGGCGTTGCTGCCTGCGCCGCCGGTGGTTTGAGATACTGTGACTGACCTGCATTGCCATATTGGCTTTACGAGTAGTTCGTCGATCGCCGTGCAAAGCTCGCTTCCAAGCTCTCACGCCGCGCGTAGGGCCCTTAGGGGCCTAGAGAACACAATCCTCCTCCCTTTTCTCCCAGTAAGCTAAAAGTCCCTACGAGAGTGATATCAGTAGACACAGTAGTCAGTACACAAACACATTGAGCGAGCGGCGGAGCGCGCGCGTGCTGACCCTGTTTCTTTGCGACTTGCGGCGCCGTGCGCACGTGAGACGCACGGCATGTTGTGCGAGTATATATATGGGACAAAAGCGTCGAAAATGTCCCAAAAGCAGTCTCGAGTTTGTGGCAGCTCCGCAGCCAGCGCGGGCTGCCAGGACGCACCGCTCGCGCGTTCGGCGCACTCCCTGGCACCCAGGGAGTGCGCCGAACCGACCAGACCGAAAACGCTCGACGCCGCGCTCGCTGTGGAGCTGCCACAAACTCGCCGCCGAGCGTGCCACCGAAGGCGTCCCGGCGGAGGTGATGGAGTGTGAGACCTGAGGCTGCGGAGGTGACGCCTGAGGTACCGGCCCGTGCACAGCGACTCAACCAGCGACCGCCACGGGCTCAGACGAGACCTGTCGACGCGTTCCGGCTCAGCTTCACCGTGGTCCTGGGGCGTCTGTCGACGTCAGGACCACCCATACAGCTCGCGGGTTTGAGGTCGCAAGAGCCAAGATGGTGGCGTTTGGACATCCCAATCATCACACAAGACAGCCTGTAGGTGGTGGCGGGGCGGCGCAGTGTTTGCGGCACTCGGCAGTAGGCACCCGCGGCACGGCCCCGCTGTCGGCTCTCGCGGGCTGCGGAACCGGACCCAGAAGGGGACGGTCCGGGCGAGTGTGGCAGTTCCTGCGCTAGCATGGGCACCCTCTATCATAGGACTACTGATCCTGGTCATTAGAGCTGCCAGGGATAGCGTCAGGAGCCGGTAGGAGTCAAAACCCCTCATATTTGAGACATCGTGTCCAATATACGGCCTCCAGAAGTTTCTCCGATACCTCGGGAGCGGGCAGGTATTCACACCTCGGCAGTGTGGGCAGGGCAGGGCAGCGCAGTGTGGGTTTCACACCCGGGGCAGGTAGGGGATCGGGCAGGGCAGGGCAGGGCAGTTGTGCGGCAGTATGCGGCAGGGCAGGACCACAAGCAGAGTGGGCAGGTCGGATGTCAAGAGGCAGGTCCCAATTGCAGTCTGAGATTTAAAAACTCACGTCGTGAAAAAAAGGCGCGCATAATTGCTGTGGACCTGAGATTCACATCCCATTCTCATTGAGATTACTTATAGGGACGGCCGATCGACGAAACACACGTGATAGCTCGCGAGCTCAACAAGTTCTCAATCAAATCTCAGGGGGGTCTGATGTGTATAGGAAATGGACGGCACTGCAGTTAAGACGTGCACTAAGTGCAAGGCTGTGAAGTCGACCGAGGACTTCAACCGCTGCGGTAATGGGTACAGATCGCAGTGTTGGGAGTGTCAGAGGGCGTACACTGTGAAGTATCGCGCGACTGAGAAATGGCGCGCGCAGAAGGAGGCGTTTGAGCATGAGATGCTGCTTCGGTGGCTGGCAGCTAAGTCTTAGTTGAATCCCCGTGTACCCGTCCCACGAAGCCGACCCACCCCGACCCCATCAGCCGGGAACCCCATCCGATTAAGCCATGCCTGGCCTTGTTCCTCAGTTGCGTCCCTTGGGTTTCTCGTTACGGGCCACATTCTAGGGGGTTCGTAACGCGAAGAATGGGCTATCATTGATCCATTTCGTTCGCGCAACGAGCCGCCACTCTCATGATCATGCGTGATGTTATTTCTAAATGTGCTTATTTACCCTTTTCTCCATACAGTTGACGTACAGTTTTATTTCTACATTTTCATTTACCCGCTCGGAAGCACGGAAGAGCAAGTGAGGGAGAGAAGTCGCGGAACCCGCCCGCCTCAGCGCGAGATCATCATGCTCGCAGGAGCGTATGTCGCGAGGTCGGCGTGAAACCTGCGGGTGCGGCCGGGCACGGCTTCGCATGAGTGGCAAGTGGCGCACGTCATGCTTGGCGAGTTGCTCGCAGGCCTGCCCGGAGAGCCGTCCTCCTGGTACACTTCGACGAGGTTGTAGGTGTACGAAAAGTCGCCGCCGCATATCGAGGACTGTCGTACCCAGTCGGTCCCGTCATTCGAGCCCTCATCCGCCTGAATCGCCTCGAAGCGGACGCACGAGCCCGGCAGAACGAACCAGGCGGGGAGGCAGGGCGGGATTGGCAGGCAGCAGCAGCAGCATAGGTTCGCCTCAATGAGAATCTCGGCGCGGCGGCTGCGAGGTTGGCGGGAGGGAGTGGGCGGTGACCGCTGCCGGCTGTGTAGCGCAAGCGTGAGCAGCGCACTAGTCCTCTGAGAACTCGAAGCGGTACGAGTAGTCGCAGCAGCGGCCCAGGTTGATTAGGAAGAGCCTACTCATGCGCTGAGAACGTGTCACGGACGCTCTCCCGGCAGCAGCCACCCACGGGGCAAAGAGGAGGCGCCAGAGGCAGCCTGGAGGCTCAGTCCACTGTCCTGTGTGGGAGGAGCCGCCGTAGCCACCGAAGACCTCCAGGTGAGCCACGCGACTATCTGGGTCCCAAGTGGACCACTTGAGCGTCTGGATGCTACCGCCGGTCGAGTGTTTGCCTATGGAGATGAAGATGCGTTCGAGACTTTTAGGTGGCGAAATCATCGGCGGAATGTTGAGGGCAAATATCAGTGTCCCATGTCGGCGAGTACGCGCCTCGCTGGAGCGTCGCGCCCGCAAGTGATGCAATCTGCGGCACGTCCCCTATGCCCGAGTTTACGCGCTTCTCTGGCTTGCAGTGGCAGAGCAACCACTGGGCGAGTGACTGTGGTTTGGTCGAGTGGTCATCGAGGAGCATCCACTGCGCGAGCGAGGAGCGTGGTTTGACGGCCACGCAGAAGCACCTCTCCTTGCAATTCAGCGTGGGCTCGGACATCGTCCGAGTCGACAATACCTTCTCTGTGGCAGCCTACCTCCTGCATCGTAGTATGGCACACTTCAGAGCTGTGAACGTGAACAGAGTGGTACCAGCACTGTGGGTCGTTGCGGCACGCAAGGGGGGCCTCCCGGACGCATGATCCTAGCCCAATACGTCCCACGGAGCACGTTTGGATTTTTGACAGAATTAAATGCACTGCCCCCGCACGGTACTAATAGTCGTAGTTTTGGCACCGCTGCCCTTCACGGCACCACACCGCCGCTTGACAGCCCGAGATTAGCCTAGCAGCGAGTGGGCATCGCCTGCCGGTCGGCTGGGCACGAGCCAAGCACTTGGGCGGCCGTCAACCGAGTCCGAGCGGCGCCTGAGGTGGGTGCCACGGCGTCTGCACGAAGGCGTGGCGGGGTGAGGAGCCAGGAGTGGTGAACACCTCCCCGTCGGGCGCGCGGCGCGTCGGATGGTCCGCCGAGGCCGCCGCCGCCCCGGCGGCGGCGATGGGGGCGGCGGGGCCGACCCGGCCGGCGTTTGTCGGCTCCACCTACAGAAGAGCAGTCTCTGTGGGTCGACGATACTAACTTGGTAGTAACGCGGAGCGGTGCTGTGCGGCGCCGAGTTGTGCGCGAGGCGACCTCCTGAGGCTACCTGAGCTGGCAATGGATGCCACCAGGACGCACGGCTAGCAGGAGCCAGTCAGGCATGCCCTGCTGTGGAGCAGAGCCGGCTCGCGGCTGGCGCACCGGCGATACTAACTCAGCGCGCCGCGAGAGGCGAATCTGGGCGACTTTGGAGGCGCAGTTCTCGAGGTTGCCGTCGACGATTGATGTCGGGTAAATTGTCACTGCCGTCCGGGAAGGTCTTCTCTCAGCAGGCCGAGCGCCGTGGCCTGGCTCGGCTCGCCGCGAGTCGCGCGAATTTATGTATGTAAAGAGTGAGTGCAGTCGAGAGGACAGGGGAGGGACGCGTCCAAGGGGGGTCCGAGGGGGGAACGGAGGCTTGGGATTTTGCATCCATGGCCGGGGAAGGCGAATCGGTCCGTTCGGGAGGCGAATCGGTCCGTTCGGGAGGTCAGCGGATTGTCGCTGTGGAGCGCAGGGGCGAGGGCGTCGACCGACGGGCGGCGCACCAGGAGCCCCTCGCTGGCGCGGTAGGTCACGGAACGACGGGTCGAGCCCCTCCGCCAAGCGAGGCGGCGGTCGAGACGGTGAGCGGTGGGCGTGGCGGAGTACGGCCGACACTACGTGCTGCGGCAGCCCGCGGAGTCGCAGGAGGCGCGGTGGAGCGGCTGCGCTTGGACGCGACGGCGAGGCTGGCCGGGCACGCTGTCGTCGAGATAGGCACGCATGTCGAGATCCTGGGTTCGCAGAGGAGGGTTCGTGTGGATGCGGTCGAGTACGACGGCTACCCGGACGCCGAGCGTCTCCTCTCGTCACGGGATCAAGTGAGACTGAGACGGAGAGCTCTGTGTGCGGACTGCTACCCGGGTACCCAGGTACTGGGCTGGGTTTTTAGGCATTGTGGGGTTGGCACTCCGGTACCCTCATGACCTCCTGCGGTCTCTGAGATGGACACCAGTGGGTGTGGGACCACAGCCAGGATACACTCTCGAGACCTTGAGCACTTGAGCACTGGATAGGGCCGATTCCGCGTGGTACGGGACTAGACAGCAACGGCTATCCGTGCTGCTGTGCGCCCCCTGGTGCGTGGTTGCCTTCAAGTTCTTAGATCACAACCCAAGGATGATATAATAAGGCAAAAAGATTGGTTGCGCCTTGCCGATCCGCACCTACCTAGGCTCTTGGGTGGCGCGCCACTCTTCACAACGAACCTGGTGTGGCTCGGGGAACGGGCGCGAGGCCGCAACGCGAATCAACGTGCACGTGCAGGATGGCTGACGCGATGGACGAGGAGGCATTGATCGATGCCGTGGCCGTCCTCAAGCTCGCAAACCCTGGCGCGACCGCAAAGGAGGTGCACGATCTGCTGACCAAGCTGGACGGCTGGGCCGACGAGTCGCTCAGTCGTGTGAAAAAGGCCTGCTCCAAAGCTGGGAAACGCGGGCTCACAGAGAAGCAGGAGCAGTGCACGGGCGCCGCCGAGGCCATCCGCCCGGAAGCGAATCGCTTTCCTGTCGTTGACGAGGCGGCTGCGCGGGCTGCCGGCCTGAACGACACTGGGATGGCGACGCTGCGGCGCTACGAAGCGGCCGCCACGGCGGGCGATGTGGATATGCAGTATCGGCTCGGCTGCAGCGATGAGATGATCGGCATCGGGCCAGCCACCACGTGGTTGCGCATCGCCGCCGAAGGAGGCCACGCGAAGGCCCAGTACAACCTCGCGTGCGCGTACAAGAGCGGTGAGGGTGCTCCCGTCGATTACAAGGAGTCGGCACGATGGAACCGCGCGGCCGCCGAGCAGGGGCATACGGAGGCGCAGTGCAATCTCGGACTGTCGTACTGCAAGGGCCAAGGCGTGGCGCAGAGCTATGCAGATGCAAAGGGCTGGCTCGAAAAGGCAGCGGCGCAGGGCGACGAGTTGGCAGCGCATGAGCTAGGGAAGGTGCAAATGGCACTGGCAGTCCAGGCACGAGGGCACATCGCTATGTTTAGTGGCCGCGAGGTTGCCACAGGCTTAGAGAAGAATCGTTGAACAAAGTCTGAGCACGGTAGCGGCATCGTTGAACAAACTGCATAAGCACGGCACGACCTTACACGGCTTTAGTTTGAAGCGGGACGGATGTTCGTACTGTTGGTCGCATTTTAATCGGCAGTTCTATAGAAAATAGCTTGGTTGTGACAAGAGGCCCACTAGCTCGTCTAGGACAACACACGACACCTCGATACTAACAAAGACTCCGATACATGAGGTATGTGAAGACGTACCTGCACCTGGTACTGTCTGTGCGATTTCTGGAACGTACTTTGTACTTTTAGCTTACTGGGAGAAAAGGGAGAGGCAGGCGCGATTTCTAGGCCCTTGGGGGCCCTACCACTCAGCGCAGTCGGAGAAAGAAGCCGGTGAACGAATCTTCGGAGAGGATGGGGCAGTCATCACTGCCGCGCTCACTGACTGGCTGGGTTCGAGAGATTGTGCGAGAGATTGTGGGAGAGAGCTTGCGTCGGAGTCGTTCCTCCGCTCCCACCTGTCGAGTGCAAGCTTCAGTTCCTTGGAGTCGAGGTACCAGACGCCGTCAACCTGCCCTGCGCCCTGAGCAAAGTCGAGGGCCTTTTCCCTCTCGGCCCGAGCCTGGGCGGCAGCGGCCTGGCGCGTTGCATTCTTCTTTGCGTTTGACGGCTTCTTCTTACCGTCTCCATGGGTGCCCGCTCCATTGCCGCTCAAGTGCCCACGCGGGGCAGCAAGGGGCGCGCCACCAATTTGGCTAGGAGGGGCGGCTAACTTGCTCGTCCGGAAACCTGCCTCGTCGACAATCCCTTTCTGTGAACAGCCTACTGTGCTGCATGAATGGTTGGGCAGGTGTGAACAACACCTCGTGACCACGGCGCCACAGGCGCCTGTTGATGGGTCCAGGTGATAGCCCTGAATGGGCAATGCATACGCCTAGTTGGGCCTCAGATCGCCCGACCGCGTCCCGGTGCTCTGTGGTCGGATTTGTGACGCCGCCGCAACGCGCTGCGGTCGGGGCCCCTCCGGAGGCCGAGGATGGCCGTGACGGACCGGGACGAGCTCTGGGAGGTAGAGTGTCAGTGTATATATTGTAGAGACTAACCATGTGCACAATATCTCTCACTCTAGCTAAGCCTGGGAAGGCGATGCCGGGGCCGTACAGCAGCTTGATGGTGCTTCGCCGGCGTGCGTCCCGGAGCGGTGCCCCGGTGCCGGACGGGCGGTCCGTGGCCCGTGGGACAAAATCGGGGACAACGCCGACACCGCTTTGATTCGACTTTTAACTTCAAACAAAGACAGTCGCACGCGCCGCGCCGCGGCGCGTGCGACTGTCAGGAGCGGATCCGTCAGTTAGTCGTGTTGACGCCGGGCTCGTGTCCCCCACAACTTGCCCAACCATTCCTCCAGCAAGTATGTGATAGAAGACGTACTGTGCGATTTCGGGGCCTGGGGTTGTGCGTTCACATTTTTTTCTCAATACATAACGCGGCTGGTGCTCGTGGAAACTTTGGGTGGCATTGCGCCGCCCACCAAGCAGTTCCTCCACGTGTTCGCCAAGGAAGCGGCGGGCACCAACACGGACCGGACGGGTACGGGGCGGCGTCGGCGAGCCGCGAGCGCCTCCTCCTTCGTCGTCCACCACACGCAGCAGATCCGAGTACAATCACTTTTCTGTGAACCGACGCTGGACATCGGACAAGTGGTCCACACGCTGAACAGAAAATGTTCAATCTCAATGTCCCACCCCCCTGCGCGCGGGCCTTCTAGGCTCGCGGGTAGTCTCCCCTCATTCCCAGGGCCTCCAGGGCTCGCACCTCAACCTCTCACACAGACCAGCGCAAAGCGCCATAGGACGTATTTTCTCAGTGTATGTGGCTCTTACGTACATTCCCGTAGTTTTCTTGTCAATAACAAGGTCTGTGAACTTCAGGGCTCGCACCTCAACCTACCTCTCACAGACCAGCGCATAGCGCCAGAATTCTTTTCTTCTCATAACAAGGCAACACAAAACAACGCGCGCGCGTGAACAGACAGGGCTCCAGGCCCCAAATGACGTGTGAGTGTTAGAGTTGTTTGGTATTGCTAAAAATCTCTCTCTAACAAGGCTGTGAACAGCCTATGTGAAGACATGCGAGCGATTTCGGGGCCTGGGGTTGTGAGAATTTTTTCTCAATACAAGGTGTGTGAACAAGGTACAAGCTCCGGTCTTTTTGTTTTTGAGCTTAGCCTTCGATGTTATGAAACAACGCAAGGCGGACATGGCATATCGCTCTCGGGCCCACAGACATCCCGCACACTCGCCGCACACCCTCTGTGAACAAGCACTTATAATCTCTCTTCACGTAAAATCTCTTCATAATGTGTATTTCACAGCCTTGTTATTGAGAAGAAAATACGTCCTAGGGCGCTGTGCGTACACACAAAAACAAAAAGCTGAGGCTTGGAGGGTCTGCCACTACTCGGCGTCCCAGCGACGGCGCATGCCGGGCAGCAGCGCTACGCTCGTCCCCGAGACCGGGGTGCAGCGCGACTGGGAGGAGCGAGAGTTTGCGCAGTCCATCCAGCTTGGCATCAAGTCGCTCGCGCAGTTCCTGAACGAGTTTGGTCTGCGCTAGCAGCCCCGTCCGACACACTTCAACACACAGAGCAGAGCGAAGGTCCCTGCGAACCGCATTGCTGACGCCTCCCCTCGCGCACGCAGAGAACACGACGCGTACCAAGCTCGCCAGTCTAAACAGCAAAATTGCGAGGCTCGAGCGGCGAATGACACTAGTGGAGGCGACGTTCGACTCGGTCAACCAGCCTCCCGCGGCCACGAGCTGACAGTGCGTGTCAGCCACACGGTGGCGCAGGGCTCTTACTGTATCTGTGCTTGCGGGCGGTTTTCCTTTTCCCTGATCGATGATGTCTGATGTGCGACGCGAGGCCGCCGGGACCACTCATGCGCGTGTTGGGCGTAGGCGGGGTGTGGCGCTCTCGAACTATAAATTCGTCTCTTTTTTCTCCCCAAGACGCACTGTCGTCTATCCACTACGGGTCGGAGCAGGCCCATGATCCGCTCACCGTCCACCTCGCGCCGCCCGCCCGGGTGCCGGGGGGACACCGGACACGCCGTGTGGATTCTGACGATAAGTGGTTGTGTTAGTGCTGGATACCGTCCTCGCGTTTCATGCTTTGGGACGACTTTGGCCCTTTCACGTCTGTCTGTCTCGGAGCGTAGCGCTAGCGGGATCGCCGACTTTCGACGCCGACTTGGTCGCCTTGGCCGAGCGTTTTTGATCTCTGGATCTGTGGGCGCCCGCCCGCCGCCTCTGAGGGGGTCGGGCCCCCTAGACTGAAAACAAAAACAAGCTCGAAAACAGCCAAAATCAGCCTGCGAGAGAGGCACTGCGCGCCGCTGACCTCAATGTGGGGAGATGTGTGCCGACACCAATACTGATCTAAAACCTGGAAACCCTTGTTCAAAGCCGACCCTAAGCGCCATCCTTCCTGCTCTCACCTGATGCTGCTTCCCCGCGCCGCCTCCTTGGGCCCCCTTGGGCGTATTTTCTACTCCCAGTGGGGTCCGGGCCCCCGGGCCCCCTCCTGTTTTCTTGGAGCACTTGGAGTGCAGTCGGCAACCTCACATCCAGGGCCGGGGAGCTCAGAAGCGCACCCAGCGGGCCGGATGATCGGGATCGGGCTACGGGCTAGAGAGCCCTGACCCCTAGGGGGGGTGCGCGTTCGCAGGGCAAGGGCCTTAAAGTAAACACGGGTCTCCGAGGGTTGGCCCCGCGTACCGGGTTTCCCCTTAACTGCAGGACGCCCCCTCTACTCGGAGCTAATGAACACCACACTGCACGCCTCACACGTCACACCACCACTCCACACTCACTCGCGCAGGCACTTGAGTAGACCCCCCGCCTGAGGGCTCACCCCCTGTCCTCCCAGGGTTCCGACCCCCTTTGATTCGTTCTCTTGCTCGTCTCACGAGCGTCATGCGACGGCCGGTGTGGCCGTTTCCCTCGTTGTTGGTGTCGCTTCCTCCGCTGCCGCCCTTCATCTCCGCCAGCTTCTCCCGGCTCCACCGCTTCCGAGGGCGTCGACGGCCCGGCCGAGGTCTCCCCGGGCGAGGGCGACGGCATTGGGTCGTGTCGCCTCCCCTCCCAGGGAGGTCGAGCCCGCTCTCCCTGGTCGGCGAGTCGTGCCCGCACTCGCGGCCTCTCTATCGTCCCCGGCTCGCCCCCCCCCTCCGCCGGCTCCTCTCCAGGCTCGGGGAGGCATGGCTCTCCCTGTCGAAGGTCGCGGTGGTCCGGTTGCCACTGCGACTGGCCTTCCCCCGGTGAGCCCGTACGTCCCGACTCCACTCTCAGAGGCCGCGTTAGCTCATCTCTCACCTCCTCCGACAACTGACCCCAAGCCCCCCCCGGGGTCCTCCGGCCTCGGCTTTCCGGTTCGCCGGCGGGTCCGCTATCGTACCGCGGTGACTCCCCTCCCCCATCTCCTCCTCCCGGGTACACCTTTTCTGTTTTCTGTTTTTCAAAACGCCCGCCCGCCCGCCACCCCGAAGCGGCTCGGCCCCCCACAGATCCAGAGATCAAAACCCCTTGGCCCTTCTTTTAATTGCTGCCAACTCGGCTGGCGCGAAGCCGTTTTTCTTTTGCTGTTGTGTAAGAAAGAAAGAAAAGCACAACCCAAAGGAGGGATGGGAGGACGGCACGCCGCCACCACACAGGGATTTCACGGGAAGGAAGGTGTGTTGCTAGCCGTCGCCCACCCTTGGGCGTCTGCCTCTTCCTATCTCTCTTCGTTCGCACGCAGTCCCTCGCTCGCCGATTCTCGCTGCAACCTTCATGCCACCTCGCGGTCGTCCCACTCTCGTCGTTCTCTCCTGTCTTTTGCTGTCGTTTCTTGGGAGACAAACTAATAAAGATTTTTTGAGCTAGCCTTCGATGTTACGAAGATTTTTTTGATCGTACGATGACGTTACGTTCGAGAGCGGCCCTTCATCGTCAACGCGTTGCACTCGATGCCGCCGCAACAAATTACGAGCGACGACTTCGCCGCGCGCTACCGCGCCACGCTCGGCGCGCTGTGGTCGCGAGGCCGGTCGGGCGGCTCACCCTGGGCGGCGGTGCGTATCGCAGAGGTTGCTTTCTTCGAGGACGGTGGGCTCGTGGAGTGGTTCTTCTCTGCAAAGGACGGTGTGCTGCGGCGCAAGCACCGCACCAGCCTGAGCACCGAGCGGCTGGCCGATGAGATGGGCCGGAGAGCCAAAGGCCGGGCCGGCCCTGACGACGTGCACGCCCTCGCGTACTTCCTGCGAGGCTGCTCTGTCTCGGCGACACCCCTCACTCGTAGCAGGCTGCAGTGGCTACTGCAAGGGGATGAGTCGCGGCGTGAAGGCCTGCGGGCTATTCAGCGGTTCGTGGTGCCGCGTGGGGAGCACGAGACCGTTCTGCGAGTCGACTGGCGCGCCCACATCGTCGACCTTCAGCTCCGCAGCTCAAGGCACCACACACACACACACACACGCTCGCGCGCGGACAAACACATTGATCGTCTATACCCTTTTTACCTTTCCCGCACCCAGGCAGCGGCTGGTCGACTGTTTGGTTGCGGCCGAGACGCGCCTCGCCACCCACTCGCCGGCGCTGTCGCACTCGCAGCAGCAGCGGCACGTCCCAGCGACGGTGGCAACAGAGGCGACGGCCCATTGCGCCTCACTTTCGGAGGCTTTGCACCGCGACATTTCTCCAATGGCCCGTCGCATCGTGGCCGACTTCAAGCCGGTGGCAGCTTCGGGGTCAGGTGGTGGCTCGCGGCCGCATCTCGTGCTGCTTTGGGCGGCGGCGCCTCCCGCGGCGGGCCCTCTGCCGGCCACACTGCTCCCAGCCTCGGCGCCTGTGCAGCCACTGCCGGAGACGGAGAGCGCGGTAGCGGATGGCGAAAGGGCGGAGATCGGGGACGGGGCTGAAATTGTCGGTGCTGTCTCCTGCGCCAGTGTAGGACAGGGAGCGGGGCGGGCTGCCTCTTTGCCAGACGAGCAGAGAGAAACATGCAATGTAGCAATGTACGAGGGAGTCACGCCTTGAGTGCGACCCGGCACGCGCTAGGAGCGCATAGCGCATGAGCCATCAGGCTGCGAGGCTGGTGCGACCACGCGGAAAAATCTGCCGCCGTCTCTCCGGTGCTCTCCAGTCTCCTCTCTCTGTCGGATCTCTCATTGGTCGCGCGTCTCTTTTGGCTGTCTATGACACTCGTACGTTGTGTCGCACTGTACTGTACTGCACCTAGGTCGTGTGCTCTCCCAGCTCTAAAAATCACACCTTGAGAAACGTTCCCCGCTCCCCTTGCGCTCTCAAGTCGCGGTCGGTCCTCACAGTTGCACGCGCTTCGGTCTTCGTGCAATCGAGTCTCTCCTCCGCGGGCGTCACAGCCTCCCCACCCCTGCCGTCGACGTCCGCGTCGCTCGACTCCGAGCCGTCGCTCGCGCCGCCCGCCTCACGTCGCCTCGCTGCTGATTTGTCCGCCGAGGCCGGCGCCTTTGCCTCAGCTGCAGTCGAGCGCCGCGGCGGTCCGTGGGGGCCGGGAGTCCTACGGACCTCGCTCTTCCACTGCTCATAGAGCCGGTGGCCGGTCCGTCCGTGTTCGGCAATTCGGTCCATCCCGCACTGCGCCTCGGAGGAGCGCACCAGCAGGTAGTCCCAAAAGACGTACTCGCCTAAGCGGGTGCGGATGCGCGCGCGAGTGTGGGAAGCCGCAGCTGGACAAGGAGGGAGGAGAGGCGACGCACTGAGGGGATCGGGCATCTAATCTCTGGCCCGCAACCGGCTCATGCGGCAGTGGCAGCCCCGCCTTTACGCGCTTGAGCGAATGGAACACGGAGGAGTATGAGCGCTGAAACTCGAGCACGAGGCCGGCGAGGGAGTCATAACCAAACTTTTTGTAGTAGAGCTCGCGCCGCCGGCTGAGTCCGACGCAGCCCCACTTGGAGTTGAGCTTGAGCGCGAGCACGATGTGCTTGTACCTACTCATTGCACCAGGTGTGGCATCGTGGCCGTGCCACCGCGCTGATGGCCCTAGCCGGTGTCACTCACGTCTGGCCGTCGACCGACGACTTGAAGCTAAGCGGCACACGCTCGAGCTCGCGCTGGCCCTGGGTGAGGTAGGCAGCCAAAAACACGGCCTCGACGCACTTGATCGGGAGGGACAGCCTCGTGATCTCGCGCGCCGTCTCCAGGATTCGGCTCATCGGTCTCTGCTTGCGCACCTGCTGCCGCAACGGCCAGCGTCGGTGCCGCGAGCACGGGCTAGGCTGCAATTGGCCGGTGTGTGTGACGCGCATCAAAGTAGTTGACCTCGGTGAAGTTGTATCCCAGCTTCTCAATGTAGGCCTGAACCGCAACCACTTTGCTCTCGACCGATGCTGTCGACACGGCTAGGATTGGCGGCGTAGGGTACGGTGGACGCGGGAGGTCCTTGCGGATCCGGAGCGCGGCCACAGCGGCGTCGAAATCCGACTCCTCGGTTGGGGCGACTGGCGGCTCGGACTCAGCGGTCGCGTCGGCGACCGCCTCGCCGTCCGTATGTGGCATCGCACATACAGCGCGAGGACCGGACGGTTTGAAACGGAAAGGCGACTCTGAAATCAGTCTGTCTGCGATAGACGCAGCCACTCCCAGCTGCTCGGTGTGAACAGAGTTCGTACACCGAGCAGCAGGGAGCGCCGCAACTCGAGATCCCCCGAGAGTTCACGCGGAGTCGGCTGGGGCTATACCAGACAGGAAATCAGTCTACATGCCAAGATTGAAAAGTAACATGTCTGGACGTCGTCCGTTCGTGACGTCTCACTGCACGACGGGGGGCCAGAGGCAGGAGCTCGACTCGCCGCTATGAGCCCGCCCCTCCCCTCCCCTCAGCAGAGCAGGCGCGTGAAACCATGCGGATTCACGCAACGTATATTGGCAATCAATCTCCGAGGTGTTGGGTATCCAAAATCCTGCTCGTGCAGGTGGGGACCCTGTCCTCCTCCCACCCCTCGTTTGGGATGTCTGTTTTCTTTCTTTGGAGGGGGGGGGGGGGGGGATCTTGCTACTGGATGCTTCCCCCAAAGGCAAGTGGAAATAGCACTTGGAGCACTTGGAGTGCAGTCGGCAACCTCACATCCAGGGCCGGTGAGCTGAGAAGCGCATCCAGCGGGCCGGATGATCGGCATCGGGCTACGGGCTAGAGAGCCCTGACCCCTAGCTAGGGGGGGGCGCGCATTCGCAGGGCAAGGGCCTTAACCCCTAAACGGCTACCGAAACGGGGTGCCCGGAAGGGCGATATCACGGCGGCCTAACTGTGCCTCCGTGCGCTCGCCACATACCCCCTGCTGCCCGAGGGTCGTGTTAGTACTTTATTGGGCACATACAGAGGCGGTGGGAAGCCACCACGTTCCCTTCAAATTTCCCGCCACCGAGCTCCGGAGCGCGCTCTGCACGAGCTCCTGGGACGCGGTTTCGTCTTTCGATCCCAGACGGTCGTCGCACGTCGGCGCCCCAGTGAGGTCCGCCGTCATAAGTGTAGCACGCTACTAGACACACTGCCTCCAAGTTGAGCGGTGGAAAATTGTGACGAAGCCACGCACCGAGGCGCCGGCGTCCCTCTGGCAATCTGCCACCGACAGCAACACGCCTTTGATCACCGGCTGCTTGCGCTCCGCATACTCTCCAGAAGCTGTTGGTTGTGTGGCTGGTGATACTTCTATCAGCCTTCCTCATGCACAATGTTGCCGTTGAGCTACGAGGCTGCAACCCGTCGTCATTTGAGTTTGCTGCCAGCCACACACAGCGCGTTCCTGCTGCACGAATGGTTGGACAGGTGTGAACAACACCTCGTGGGGGCGGCACCGCAGGCGTCCATTGAGGGGTCCAGGTGATAGCCCTGGGCGGACAATCCATACGCCTAGTTGGACTTCAGATCGCCCGATCGCGTCCCGGTGAACTGACGTCGGATTTGTGACGCCGCCGCACCGCGCCGCGGCCGGGGGCCCTCCGGAGGCTGAGGATGGCCGTGGCGGACCGAGACAAGCTCTGGGAGGTAAAGTGTCAGTGTATATATTGTAGAGGCTGACCACGTGCACAATATCTCTCACTCTAGCTAAGCCAGGGGAGGCTATTCTGGGCGTCCACACGGCTTGCACTGGTGACCCTCGCGACAAAGCGAGCGCGTCCGGCAGAGCGACTGAAGAATCGAGGACAGAGTCACAAATCCCGCTTGTTGTGCATGTTTTGAGGTCGGACAGTGCTGCTGTCTTCTCCACGCAGCAGCCGACGCCACCAGGCCTCGGTAGCTGAGCAGCAGGAGCCTCCTCGCTGCTGGCAGAGTTGCGCCTCTGTTTGCCGCCGCTAAGAGATCGCTGTTGCGGGAATCCAGGGAATCTAAAGGAATCTAGAATCTGTGGGTCCGAGATTCGATCTGGGACCTGAGCCGCTCGGGACCAGCTGCACATGACTCGGGGCCACTGCCATGTCGCAGACGACTGCTGGATCGGCCGTCGCTGCGACCAGCCGCATCAGCTTTCTCTTTCACAGAATTGGCGAAGTTCCCATATGGGAACCACAGCCGTTTAGGGGTTTTAAAGTAAACACGGGTCTCCGAGAGGGCTCCGTGTACCGGGTTTCCCCTTAACTGCAGAACGCCCCCTCTACTCGGAGCTAGTGGACACGGACACTACGACACCACGCGTCACGTACACACACGACTGTCTAACGTGTACACTGCACGTCCTCGTCCCCCACCCTTCAGGGTGAATCTCCAGTCTGGTTCGGTCTCTTGCTCGCTTTTCGGGCGTCGCCCCACTGCCTCTGCAGACGTTTTTGATGTCTCTTCTTCGGAGGCGGCCCCTCCGCCCCACCTCCGTCGGCTAGCCCCATTGGCCCCGAGGGAGCCGACAGCCCGGGTGGGGCCTCCCCTGATCCCGCTGATAGCAAAAGAGTGATTTTGAAACTTGGATGAATTTCAGATTACTCGGAATCTGAAATTGTTTTTCACAGATCACTCGGCGAGCACAGATTACTCGGAATCGAACAAAATTTTAGGATTGTAGATTAATCGGATCGAACAAATTTTCCTCGCAGATTACTCGGCTCGTTTTCCTTCCCCATTTCAGTCCCGTGCCCAGTGTGTGTGTGTGTGTGTCGTGAGAGGTTTCTTCTAAAATTCTTTGATGTACTGGCCTTTCGTTAAAAAAAATCTCAGCTGATACTTGATACTTGAAGACACATCACACGAAACCCTCCCTCGAACGAGCAGCACACACAGAGCGTGATCTACGCGTCGGCCGCCTCCCGCTCCACCCGCCGCGACGGGCGGATGCGCAAGCCGTCTCCCGCAACCATAGGTCTCCTCGGACCATAGGTCTCCTCGGACCGCGGTGAAACCGCACTAAAGAGCAGGGAGCACACGACATCCGCGAGCATCACGAGCTGGACGAGCATCAAAGAGAAGGTTCTCGACCTCAACGACCCGACCGCCTTCCCTGCGTTTGGCAAGAGCGGCGGCGTGGAGAGGTCGGCGGGAATGAGCGGGCCCGAGTAAACTGCGACGGAAAACATGTAAATTCCCGAATCTGTTTTCGTTCAGTTTACTCGGGCTGGCCCCAGTTTACTCGGGCTGGCCCCGAGTACATGTAAACTGGTGTGTCTCGCGCCTTGCGCGTTGCGGGGGGCGACGGAAAAAATGTCGAAATGTGGTCCCGAATCTGTTTTCGTTCAGTTTACTCGGGCTGGCCCCGAGTAAACTGCGACGGAGAAATTGTCGAAATCTGGTCCCGCGTAATCTGTTTTTTCAGTTTACTCGGAGATCCGAGTGATGTGAAAAACAATTTCAGATTCCGAGTAAACTGAGATTTTTCCTTGAAACTTCTCCAGTAGAGAAAAAAGAAAGAAGTTCCGGGCGCGTCGCCGCCCGGCCGGCTGGGGCCAGCTTGCTGTCTTTCGCTGCGCCCGGGGCCGTGTGCCGCCCCTCAGCAGCCGCGAAGCCGCCGCCGACGAGAAGCTGGCGCTGGGGACCGGTTTCATGGAGTACCGCTACCAGGAGCTCGTGGGCGGCATGGCTGCTGGGCTAGTGCAGGACGCGCTGCTCCACCCGCTTGACGTCCTGCGCGCGCGGCTTGACACCGGTGTCAGCAGCGCCACGGCCCGCAGCGCTGCCAACCCGGCCACAGCGCTATGGTGCGAAGCGCAGTCAGTCGCTGCGGTCGACGGCATGCGCGGGCTCTATCGAGGCTACACGCTGTGCCTGGCCGCGTCCGCGCCGGCGAATGCGCTTTATTTCGGTTCATTCAAGGCGAGCCAACGCGCACTGGGGGACACCTCGGTGCCAGCGGCGGGGCGAGATTTTATCGCCGGGCTTTCCGCCGAGTGCGTCGCCAGTCTCCTGTGGACGCCGCTCGACGTGCTGAAGCAGCGCATGCAGGTCGGCCCAACCGACCTGGGCACGCTGGGCGCGACGCGCGACGCCTGCCGCGTGGGTGTGGTGGGGCTGTGGCGTGGCTATTTTGCCGGGCTGGCCGTGTGGGGGCCATTCTCGGCGTCGTACTTTGCAATGTACGAGGGGCTGCGACGGGCGATGGGCAGCGGCGACGGCGCGACCGAGGCCTCCGCCAGGCAGAGCATACCCGCAGGGCTCGGCGCCGGCGCGGCGGCGGCGCTGCTGACGCAGCCGCTCGACTGCGCAAAGACGCGCATCCAGGTGGGGGCGGTGCCGCGCAACCTCGGCTTGCTGAGCGTGATGCGGCGGGTGTACGTGCAGGAGGGGGCGGAGTCGCTCTGGCGAGGCGGCGCCGCGCGCACGCTCTGGCTGACGCCCGGCTGCGCGATCACCATCACCGTCTTCGAGGCCGTCGAGCGCCTGCTGCGCTGAGGAAGGTCGTTCGGCCCCGGCCGAGGGCGGACTGCGGCTCGGCGATCGGTTTGTCCTCGCTCGACTTGTGCACGCTCGAGCGGACCCCTAGCGCCCCGGCGGCGAGGTCCGAGGACCTCGCGGGCGGCGGATCGTTTGCGGCCGACGCTGCGCGGGCTTCGGGGCCGAGGCGTTTGCAGCGGGCTTGTGGGCGCCACTCGATCTCCTCAAGCAGCGGGTGCAGGCGAAGCCAGCCCGACGCGGGCCCGCCGCCCTCCAACCCCCTCCCCACCCACCTCGACGTCTATCGGGGCGCAGCGCTCGCCCGTGCGCTGCAGCCCTTTCGCGACGTCGCAAAGACAGAGCGTGACGCGTTCCCGCGCTTCCGGGGCGAGAGCCGGTGGCAGTGCGGACTATTTCCTCGCGCGACAAGCCTTCCCCTCCCCGCACCCCTCCCCGCACCCCCCTGCTCGCTCCGACCCTTGCTAGCCCCCTCGGCCAAGCCGCAGGTGGCGCAAAAAACGTGCACCTCTCCGTGCTCGCCGCCGTCCGCGGTCTTGCGCCGGGGCCTCCGTGCGGGGCCCCTGGCGGGGTTACCTCTGCGTTGTGCCTCCGTGCTGCTCTGGCGGCGCCGGCTCTGCGTGTGGGGTGGGGCGCGGGGCCGGGGCGGGGGGGAGACAGGACAGAGCGCGATTGATGGTGCGGCGCTGCGCTGGTCTGACTGCGAGTACGGAGTAGCCCGCCGCCCATTTCTCGCAGCCGTGGGTACTTCGTGCGCTCAGCCCCGGCCCTCTTGACCCGCACTCTTGCCGCTCAGCTTGCCGCTCAGCTCCTCTATAAACCAAGATCCAGGGGCGGCCTCGCACGATACACTGGAACAAGTAAGCATTTTCCAAAAAGAAAATCTTCCCCGAGCGTGCGTCACTTCGGTCGATCGTCCCACTTCGTCAGTGCTCTGCGTTGCGCACGCCGCTGGCCTAGGGGTAGCGCTGCCTCAAGCGCCATGATGCTCGCAGAGAACAAGCACATCGAGCGCCAGCAGCAGTTTGCCACACTTCAACTTCAGAGGCGAATACTGCAACCCTCCCAGCTGAGGCTTTGCCGCCCTTTCATTGATCGAGCGGAAGCCGCCCCCTGAACCAGTATCGGGCCTGCGTTCCACACTGTAATTGCTGCTCTTACACTTATCACCTATACTTTGGCCGCCCTCTTCATCCAGGCGACAGCTCCAGTTCTTGCTCGACCGACTCAACCTCCTAAACACTCAGTGCACACTCGTGTGTGGTTTCGCCTTCACCTCCTTCTCGGCTGACGCGCTGCACGACATGCCCTACGGAGACTTGCCGCTCCTCTCTGTGGTATTTGTGCTCTTTGCTGGCTCTTCGATGGCCGCTGCAGTCGCCGCCGTGTGCCTGGCGTCCTACGTGATGCTGATTGCTGAGAGACTGTCGCTCACGACCTCCGTGGTCATCGCCATCGCCGCTGCGAGAAAGTGGACCATCCTGGTGCGAGCATCGGCCGTACCAGACCCAGTAAGAGTGCCGAGCCTCTGCCTCTGCCTGCCAGGTGTCAAAGATGTACATTGGCAGCCTCATTGGCTTGTTCGGATCTGCTGTGTGCCTCATGTTCACCATGTGCGACACGGGCGACCTCACGAACGAGAACTACTGCGTGATCACTGCGAGCGTGGCCAGTATTTTCTTTACGGGTACGTTCACCGGAACGGTGCATGCAGCGGCCCACACAACGCATCATGCATGTCCTGTCACGACTGCACCACATGGACATGGCAAACGCACAGGTGTATGTTCTTCACAAGGCGAAGAAGCAGTTCGACCTCATCAGGCAAAATAATACAAACTGGATGGCGGAGGGCTCGAATCTCGAGGAACTGCTGCCAAAGGGCTCTGTGGGAAGCGATGCGCACGGAGTCTTGCCCTCACCTGAGGGGCCTCACAATGCACCCTGGCGGCTATAGCGCTTGTAAGTGTGTGAGCGTGTGCGTGCGCTTGTCTTATGCAGTAGCTCAGACAGACGAACGCAGTTTTACTCCTTGGTTGGGCACATGCATGGATGGGCACTGCGTGAGTCAAAAAAATCTCGAATCAGCCCGGAGACCTGGCTGTGACGCTGCTCTTCATCCTTGGCCGCGCCAGGCTCTCCTACTGCGCCAGCCTTTCAGCTGCGCCAGTTCTGCTTCTCCCCGCCCACCCTATCCTGCGGGACATGCAACTATGGGCACATGCAACTATGATTGTACTTGCTTCCGCCGGAGAGCACTGCGTCGCGCAGACACTGGGGCTCCTCTCCGAATAGGGACACGTTGATGTGCGATGCAGCAAGCGTCTGGTAGAAAGATCGGCAGAGCCGCGCTCGCTCCCAGCCCAATGGGGGTGCTAAAGAGGCCATATGCAGTGGGTGCGCCGCATCAGTGGCAAAGGCGAGCGCTCGATCCGCACTCTTGGGCAGCAGCGTGCGCAGAGGTCTCCTAAGGTCAGCACCGCGCTCGCTGCGGTTGAACTCAAGGCCATGGCGAGCCACGGTGGCGGCGGCATCGATGGCGGTGAAGCCCTCGGGCGCAAAGACTGCCTGGTAGACATAAGGACCTACCACCTCGGGGAACCCATGCCAGAAGGAGGCCATCGCAATCGCATGCCACAGCGGCACCCTGCAAACACCGAGCTAACAGTCAGTCCTCTCTGTCCGCACACAAGACTCTGTTCTAACTCGTCGTAGCCTTGAGCCGTCGGTCGTATTGATGCATGCCGTGAGAGTAGTGCGGCTAAAGATCCACTGCCCCCACGTCTGCCACCATGAGCTGCGTGGACCGATGCCCCGCGCAGCAGCGAGCGCGGGGTCGATGTTTAGGAGCCCGAGCGCAGACGGCGTGTCTTGCTTAGACCGTGACGGAGCGTCATGATAAATCAAGGCAAAGGGCCTGATGGGGATGGACACGTGAAGCTGCCCCCGGGCGGCCCCATCCCCACATGGGTGGCTGCGGGATTGCGCGCTTGCCTTTGGGCGTACCGCTCAAAGATGGCCACTAGTGATCTGACAAGGGACGGGGGAGCCGTGATACGGCGCGATCCCAAGGGTAACTAAGACGTCTCGCGTGCAGGGCGACAACAGAGGTCGGTGTCGGATCTAATGCAGACGTGGGACAAAGCAGCAGCGCCTCGCTGTCGAGAAACCATGACCACTCAAAGCCGAAGTAGATTGCACCGAGCAGCTTCTTGATGCCCTGAAACCGATACTTAAGCCGAAGCTTGCGCCGCCTCGTGCGGTTGAGAGGCGCGACTAGCAGCAGCGGATCAATCGATATCGTGAGCAACTCAATTAAGTAACTGCTCCCCCTCACCACCCTTGCAAAGCGCAGTCGAGTTGCTTGGCCGCCGCATCCCTCGGGAGAGTGACGCGTATCAGCACGGCGCACGGCGAAGCGGCGTAGCTCACGCCCCCTGCGATGTGAAGCAATATGGCTGCCAAAGACGCGCTCCTATAATTGAACCCGGCATCGTGATCGAAGGTGTGGGGAGAGTCGTGTACTTCACTCCCGGTGCATCATCTGCGGTCGAGAACACGAGCCCGACGGGCACAGCTGCAGTTGCGTGGATGCCAACAGAGATGAGAAAGTCGGTGACCTTCTCGAAGTGGGGAGGGTACGTCGCCATTACGATTCCAAAGCCCACCATCGTGCCCCCGCGTCGCCATGTCAAGTTTGGGGACGCGTTCAGAACCTTACTCTCCAGGCGCACGGAAGTAGAGATGGCGCCTCGCCCTCTTCCATCGACACGCAGCAAACACACCTCGAGGAGCTGCAGAGCCGCAGAAAGTGGCGCCTCTCTCTACAGCCGCGTCCCCAAGACAGGCAGTACGGCGCTGCTCACGGCGGCGCAAAACAGCCGCTGCCGCGGATGGAGCCAAATGACACACAGCCGATCCATGTTTGAGGTCAAGGCGGGCTTGCACCCGCAGCTACCGCGCGTCGCCGTCCTCCGGGAGCCCTGCGACCGATTTGCGTCCCAGTTCTGGCACCTATCACGGCGTGCTCGTGCCGGTGCCCGGCCAAATGCCACAGCGAACCATGCGTGGTTGGGAAACGTCAGCGCGAGGCTGCTCGCCGGCGCGACGAGTCCTGATGCGTGGCTACTGCATCTCGTGCGTGTATTCGGCCGCTTTCGAGACGACCCCGCGGCGATGGTAGGAGCTATGGGGATTGCCATCAGCGCTGCGGGGCACGGAGACAGCCCTGTGACGCAGTTAGGGCCCGCAGCTCCCTACTACGACGCGCGGACGTGCTTTGTGTGCTACGAGACACGTGTCTCGCAGGCAATTCTCGCGCGCTTTTGCGGCGTGCCTACGAATCTCACTGGCAACGCGCGCCTCCCGAGCACCAGCCAACCGAGGCTGACCACGGCAGGTTGCAAGGATCTGAGATCCGAGCTCCTGCCCGTGGACGCCAAGCTATGGGCGTCGATTTGCGGCGGAGCCGGGGCGGGGTGAGACGTGCACGTTTGCAATAGCAGTGCTGCGATGCCGATGTGTGACATTTTGAAAGATCGATTGAAAGAAGCTTGGGGCGGTGGCGGACCGGGCGGGGTGAGAGAGTGAAGTCCTAAGAGAGAGAGAGACCGGCAGAAAGAGAGGAGAGCTAGGGCCCAGGGATTGGAAGAAAAACTAACCGCAAAGGATCGAAGCTAGGGGCCGGACGAGGCGTACCCCGAGGGCCCCACTCTTTCCTTCGCATAGCGGCCACTCTTCGGGTCGCTGGTCGAGCGACCCGGGGGATGCCCCGCGCGCCTGACCCAGGCGCGAGAAACGAATCTGCGAGGCGTGGCCGCTTATGCGGCCCGATGGGGAGGAACGGGGCGAGCCAACCCACCCGCGCTAGGTCTCGGGTTTGACGCATGGGGTCACTCCCGCGAAACTCGTGAACTAGCCGGGGCAGTCGGAGAAGGGGCAACTCCGTGCACTGACGGTCGGCCGCCAGAAAACACGCCTGCGTGGATCGCGTCACACCAATCCTCGCTACCCAACGCGGCCAAAGGATATCCACCTCGAGAACCTCGAGAACCTCGAGAAGCTACAGAAAGAAGAAGAATTTATACAAAAGAACTCTCTCTCACAGCAGACAGGCTCGACACAGGTGCGAACTGGCGCGTGCTAGTACTATCAAGAAGAAGAAAAGGCACCCCGTCAAGAGCTCACCTCAACCCCAATGCTGGGGCTGCCCCTGCTGTCCCTCGTGGCCCTCGCAATCTCTCCAAGCTACATCACTCACGACCAACGCCTCCTACGGCTGCGCGGCGGCGATCGCGAGAGTACGTTTGCGATGCTCAAGCCGGATGTCGCATCAGACACCCACACAGTGGACGAGATTAAGCAGCGGATTGCCGAAGCGGGCCTCTCAATCGAGCGCGAGAGGGTGTGCCGTCTGAGCAGGCGGCGGTGCGGCAAGTTCTACGCCGAGCATCGTACACGCCCCTTCTACCCGGCGCTGCTCGGCTTCATGTCGTCGGGTCCCGTCGTGATGCTCGAGCTCTCCGGCGAGAGTGCTATCGGCGCTTGGCGCTCGCTCATCGGTCCGACCAGCACTGAAACCGCGCGCAAGGAGGCGCCGCGCTCGCTGCGGGCCATGTACGGATCGGACAACACGCGCAATGCCGCCCACGGCTCCGACTCGCCTGCCTCGGCCGCCCGCGAGATCCGGCTCATGTTCCAAAAGCCCGCCTGGAGGCGGCTCGAGGTGTACGCAGGTCTTGCCGCCGCCTTCCTCCTCACCAAGCGGGAGTAGGCACACAGACTAGCCCAGGGCGGTGTGTGACGGTGCGGAGTCACTCACTCGTGCTGCTCCTCGCAGACCGTGGCACCCCTCTCCCGCTCACACTTACTGCGTAGTCCACGCGGCGCATATACGTATCTGAACTGGATTAAGTTTCTCCGAGACCTGCATATACCTGGGTCTCTCTGTCTCACGCTCTCACATCGTGGACATAATACGCACGCGTCATGACATGTACAAAGCTCGTCGCTCGATCAGCATCAGAGGTCACAAAATTTTAAACCGCCGCTCTCTCGCACACGCGAGACTCACGCCGCACACCGCGCGCGAAGCACAACCACAACGCACAAGTCGGCCACAATTTAGTGGAGTCTTAGTCAGCAGAGGCAAGCGTCGGCTGTCTCATTGTTGTCACTTGTGTGTATCTAGAGCACCTCGCTCCAGCCCGGCACCGCGCACACGACTTCGCCATCCCGGCGGCCGCTCACCATCTCAGGCCGGCACCGCGCACAAGCGTTCACACCCGTCTCCACCGAGCACCTTCCTGTCACCGTCTCACAAGCACGCGGATCGACGAGTTGTGCTTTCTTCGCAGCTGCAGGGCCTGCGTCCGGGTGTACACGAAACCGCCCACGCTCGCGTTGCGCAGGAGGCGCGCGAGCCGCGCGTGCCTCGCCATGCCGCGGAGCAGCAGCCCGTGTCGCTCGAGATGCTCCACCTGAGACGACCGAGAGGAGGTGCGGCCGAGGTGCGGCCGAGGTGTGGCCGAGATATGCTGCTCGAGGTGTGCGCCACCTTGTCCCCCTCCTCCTTCAGGTAGCCGCAGTGCACGCCCACCATGCTGCCCACGGGCAGGCGGAGCGCCTGCCGCGCCTCCAGCATCTCGATGTTGAGGAAGGCGGAGGCGGGGAGCAGGCGGTACCTCAGCGGCGGCAGCTCGTCGCCCAGCCCGATCAGGTACCGCACCACCATCAGCTGGAACGCCTTTTGCTCCCACTCGTTGGGCTTGTCCGCTATGTACCTGCAGAGCGATGCACCCGCGACAGGCGGGCAGGCGATCAGCCGTGGTGGCGGTCTGGTGTGACTCTGGGACCTCACGGGCCTTGCGACGGTGAGTCCCGTGTGGTGGCCGAGGCGCGCCGGTGCAGCCCGCGCAGAAAGGCGACCGTCGGCGGCGTCGCGCGCGCGAACCACAGCCCAGTGCTCTGACACGGGTAGACGGAGCGCTTGCTGCGCTCGTACCTACAGAGCAGTGGACACGGAACATGACATGTGCATGTGCATGCACATGCACATGTGTGCATGTGCATGTGCATGTGCATGTGCATGTGCATGTGCATGTGCATGTTGCATGTTGTCATGTGCATGTCCTGGAGCTGCTCTGCTCGGACGGCTCGGAGTGAGGGCGCGTGCTGCCGCGCACATGTTCTCCATCCACGGCCTCATGCAGGTGATCTCGTGGTGGGACTGCACCGTCAGGTTCACCGAGCGGATGTCCGAGAGCCCCTGGAAGTCAAAGCTGCGCTCCCAGTGCGCAAACGGATCGCGCAACCACACCACGTCCGGGTCGGAGAAGATGAGGTGGAATCGGGCCTCGGCCAGCACTCGCGCGTACCACCACTTGAGCGTCACCTGGCTCCCAAAGCCGTTCTGTCGCCCCCGCTGCGTCGGCGCCGCTGCGTCGGCAAAGCACGGAATTGACGCCTCGCGAACCACCTGGCACGTGTGCTCGTTAGCTCCGACCAGCAGCACGTTGCGAGCTCGCGCCCCAAGGTTTCCAAACCACTGCCTGAGAAAGACCAGCTGGACGAGCGCCCGGTCCATGCTCACCGTCGTGTAGATTAGCTCGCGCTTCGTCGACGCCACCTCCGCTGCCACGCGCAGCAGCTCGTCCAGGCTGCGCAGTACTGGCGTGCGGCGCGACAACTCGAGCACAGAATGGATGCGGCCGAGGGCTGCAGCGGTGATCTCTCTCTCCGGCGAGGTGAGGTTTCGAGGTTGGTGCTTCACGTGCACGCCTCGAGCAGCTCGAGCGGCCGCCATTGCAGATTTCTTTTTTTGACTAGTGTGGGACCTGCGGCGGTACCCGTCTCTGTTGTTCGGGCAGTGAGAGACGCAGGATCTGCACGCCAAAGTGGGCCACCATTTTGGTTTTGGGTTGTCGGAGATCATCCATCAGCTCTCATGTCTCATCAGTCAGTCACGTCAGTCAAAGCAGTCGTGGCACGTGGAGCAGTCGCTGCATGCAACGGCGCCGCCACACGCTCCGGACGACCGCCCGACAACCGACACACCACGCACAATGGGAGGCTATCGCGCACGATCGGGCATCGCGCCGCAAACAACTCGCCGCACAGATGGGGGGGAGGCAGAATCCCACACACACCCGAGCAGCACAGACACCTTACACGTCAGCGCTCGCTCGATGTGGCCGGCGCTCTCCCCTCGGTCCTATCTCGCCGTTTCAACGGCGGCGTGCGGCCACGCGCCGCGCCGAGCCGGTCTCGGCTGTCATGCGCAGGTTCTTTTTCAGTGTATGTGGCTCTTACGAACATACCCGTAGGTGAACTGCTGACAGGGTTTGCTTTTTGTTGGGTTCTTTTTTGATTGCGATTTGTTCGCTTGTCTCGGTGGTTTTTTTAATCGTCTGCGCAATCCTCGCACTGGTTGTGGTCGTGAGCGATGTCTGCCGGCCGCTACGTGCCCGGCCGCGGGCGCGGCGGCCTCGACACTTCCGCCGTGGAGCGGCTGCGGCAGCGTCGCGCAGCCGGGTCGGCGCTGCCGGGCGAGGCGGACAACCAGCAAGCCAACCTGCTTCTCGGCGGTGGTGCGAAGAAGGTGGCGCGCTGTGGCCACTGCACACGGCCGCTGCTGGAGGGAGATGTCGGACACGTGTGCAGCCGCTGCGAGCAGCCAGGCGCACCGCGGTCAGCGCCAGCTGCTCCAGCTGCTCCAGCGCCTCCTGCGCCTCCTCCTCCGCCCGCGCCGCCCGCGCCTCTTCCTGCGCCTCTTCCTGCCGTGACGGAGCAGCCTCTGTCGTGGCAGGAGGCGGTGGCGCGGGCACAGCGGGAGCGAAAGCGGCTGCGGGATGCAGAGGATTGTGGGCGCATGGCAGCCGACCCCAGACGCGACCGCGGCAGCCGCAGCCGCAGCCGCAGCCGCAGCCCAAGGCAGGAGGACCGCAGCCCAAGGGAGCGATTCTAAGATCAGGTCTGGCACCTCCCCACTGGAAACGAACATCTGAGTTTCAAATCTCGAATAAATCTCGAAACACACTTGAATGCTCACTTGGCAGGTAAACAGATGCGCCACGCGCCCCAACCGCTCCTCTGGTCGCCGCCGGCCTCCGCGGCGGCGGCGATGTCCCAGCGCCACCCATCGGCCAGCCCTCAGATCGATCGATCGGCGCTCAAAGTCGGCTTCAGATCCGAGAACGCTGCTGGCGCCGCCGCCGATCCCAGCGGCGACGCCAGCAGCTTCCTCTGCTCTCCAATGCGCCGAGAAGCGACGCGGGGGTGCTCGGCCCGCCGTGGACGTCGAAGGCTCCGCCGGGCGCGCGTCGGCCGGTCCGGTGGCACCCTCTGCGCGCGGCACCTGCCGGCGCCCCGACGACAGCCGTCGCGCCACCGCTGATGGAGGGGCGGTCGGCGCCGCTGCCGCCTGCGCCCGCGTGCTTCGAGCTGCCCGCTCGGTGCTTCGAAATGCCCGCTCCGGCGGCCCGCTACCTCCGCTATTCTTTTTTCTACAAGCAAAATTCGAGCCATTGAGGAAACTGAAGCGGGCAGGCTGGAAGCACTGAGGGACGGCCGATGTTCGCCCAGACCTGATTTTAGAATCGCTCAAGGCAGGAGGACCACGGATAGTGCTGCAGTGTCTCCCTCCGGCCGCAAGACGCTGTGTTGGTTTGGCGCATTAAGAAATATTTTGTTTTTCTGTCCAGTCATAATACGGAATCCTATTACAGTGCTGAGAGTGGGTTGTGCGTTGCGGGCATTTTATAAGCGAAAGCGTGGCATATTAAGACGAATTAAGAAACCACGCCGAGCGATTTCCGCAAAAATCTAAGAAACCACGGCGTGCCGCAGGCGCGGCTCCGAGAAAAGGCCAGACACGAGTGTGAACAGGAGCTCCTCCGAGCCTCAGAATTTCTCTTCGCCTGCGCGGCGCGGCGCGTGCACTTGGCATTTTACAAGTCTGCGGTGTTTTGAGCGAGTGGAGATGGATGCGTGTGCGTCTTGAGTCGGTGGCAGACCTTGAGAGCAGACGCTCCGGTAACCAGGCCGAGAGTACCAGGGAGGAGAGGGGAGAAGAGCCCAGGGAGGGGAGAGGAGAAGAGCCCAGGGAGGGGAGAGGAGAAGAGCCCAAGGCGGCCTCCCTCTCCCTCCCCTCCCACCGGGCCTCCCTCTCCCTCTCCTCCCACCGGGCCTCCCTCTCCCCCTCCTCCTGCCAAGCACCAACAGTCTCAAGGGGCCAGCCGCTGGGGGAACCACCTCCGAAGGGGGGGTGGACGTACGCCGGCGGCACGAGGGCTTCAGCCACGCAGCTACCAAGGGAACGCGACCCACACAAAGCACCAAAGTTAGGCATACCCCCCGGCGCAGTGTCCCCCGCTATGTGTCGCCGTTTGTCGGGGCACGCTATCCTGTGCAGTCAGGGCAAGTGGGGGCGGGGCGGACAGCCCAGGCCTTTGGTTTGTTTCCTGGGACCTCTCCGCCCAGTCCGGGGGTGCGTCGAACCTTCCATCACCCTGGGAACGTCCGGGTGTTGGAAGTAAAGATATATTACTTTTTTTGGAGTCGGTGGCAGACTGGCTGGCGGCATCGGATCCGGGACCGCAGCTCACCTCTTCCGACGAGGGGGCCGGCTCTGACCTTTGACCTACCTTGGGAGCTAAGAAACCACGGCGTGGGGTGGGTGAGGGTGTGGAAAGGCTTAGAAACGGCGGCGTGCCGGGAAATCCTGTTTTCTTAAAATGTTTTCTTAACGCCCGCCCCCACCTCTGCCTCTTGGAGCAGTAAACACCACTATGTGTGTGTGTGTGCGTATATGTCGGCACAGGTGTCCGCAGGACGCGAGGCCTTTGTGGTCTCCGTCCACGAGCACCGCTGGTTGCACACATCCGAGCTGCTCGCATCGCTGCGCGTGTTCGGCGCCGTGTGGCGCGTCGTGCCACCCACGCCAACGATCAGCAAGATCGAGAGCAACTTCAACAGCTTCCGCTCTGCGATCTCGCGTGCCGCACGCCGGTCGCGCGCCTCTCCCACCGGCGTCTCGTCGTGGTATTACGTCTTTGAGGACGACATCGGGATCGTCAATCGCTCGACCGTCGCGCACGAGATGGAGCAGGCGAGAGAGCGAGATCCATGCCTGTGTCCGGGCCAGCCTGATGACCACCCACTCTCCCAGGCGGAGGCGCGCGCCGAGCGGCACCAGCTCCCGCTCCTCTACGGCGGCCTCTGCTGCGAGCTCGGCCCGCGCTGCCAGTGCCACGGCGGCAACTGCTACGGAATGTGCGCCCACGCGTGGGCTGCGCACGGTGCGGACTACCTCGAGGTGCTGCTCAACCGCACGCGCGTCACTGCACGGCTGCGGAGCCTGTGGAACAGCTCGTGCGTCGGCACACCTCGCTGCGCCACCCGCGAGGGGTTGCACCACAACGCCCAGGTCTCGGACGCGGTAGATGTTGATATGACCTGTCGCGCTGCTCGATTACGCCGTTACCACGGACTCTGCGGAGACGGCACGGCAATGCACAAATACCCGCCCGTGTCCAGACTGCCGGCGCTGCACAGCACACGCCCTCACCGGCCGCTGCCTGCTCACGGCAGGTGTTTGACTTGCGGCTCGGCAAGTTCGCGATGGATCTGGGCGGCGTGCCGGTGGTCGGGCCTGGGCACCGGAGCCCGCAGCACAAGAGGCACATCGGGGCCTTCTACCAAGACCGGAGAGCCTTCCCGAGCACAATCGGGCGGTGACCGGGTTTTGAGGTTACGGCTTACGACTTGCACGGCGCTCAGCGGCTGCACAGAGCGCCCGGAAATTCTTTTCCCCTGCCGTGGCCGGTCCCGTAAAAGAAAGTAAGAAAAGAGAAACCCAAGGGAGGTGGGAGGATGGCACGCCGCTAGAAAGAAACGGCAAGGGGTGCCGCCGAGGCCCCGAGGCGCTGGGTCCAGGGTCGCACCGCGCCCATCGTGCGCTTCTCTCTGGTACAGGTACCGTACCTCAGGTAGGACGGGAACGATATGGTAGTATAGGGAGTTAGAAGAAAGCAAAGAGGAGCCCTGCGCACGCACGACTCCGCAGGAGAAGCCCCTCCCTCCCTTCCTTGCGCAGCGTAGCCTCCTCCTCCCTACTCGCAAGCCGGGTAGCCATTGCGGTGATTATGACGGGGGTTCCACCCTGTGTGGTGATTATGACGGGTTCCACCCTGTGTGGTGATTATGACGGGTTCCACCCTGTGTGGTGATTATGACGGGTTCCACCCTGTGTGTACTTGTTACGTGAAAACCCGCTGGGACCCGGACGCCAGCACACACGGCTAGATTTCATGGCGGGCCGCCTAGGCCCTGGGGTCGGAGGTAGAGTCGGCGGTGGTGCCGCGCGCGGCGCGGGCTTCGCTGTCGGGGGCGTTTAGGGCGGGGTCGGGGAAGGCGGGGGGGGTCGGTCGCATTGGCGGCCGCGCGGCAGTGGCTGCGGGGGGGGCGGGAGGAGGTGGTGGCGCCGACCGCAATGGCGGCCGACCCGACGAGCGCCGGGCGAGATCGCGAGGGTCGAGGGTGAGCTCGAAGCCGAGGGCGGCGGCCGAGTTCTGAATGGTGAGGGCGTCGGCGGTGACGATGGCGGCGGAGATGGCGGCGGAGTGAAAGGTGTAGTGCGAGCGGGTGGACGCGCGAGAGGTGCCGTACGGCGTGTGGTCAATGGACCCACTAGTGCGTGCGGTCCTCGCAAGCTGGCGGAGGACGCGATCGAGGTCGGCGGAGAATGCTCCGGTCGACTCGGTCACGAGGAGGATGACCGTGTGACCCTTGGCGAGGGCGTCAGCGTAATCGCCATCCTTCGCTGCCACCCAGCCGTCACCGCTGACGCGGTCCAGTCGCTCCTCCGTGTCCGGGTCACCCCGTTGGGGGGGTGGCCAAGGACGACGACGGAGAGGTGCTCCTAGGAAAGCGCATGTCGCTGCGCTGAAGGGCTCACGCTATAGGGTGCTGGATGAGGACGGGTACGATGCACTAGCCCCAGCCGTCGGGGGGGTGTTGCCGGCGCTGGTAGATGATCTCTCGGAGAAGAGCCGGAGGGACCTTGGCGCCGGGGTCACGAGGAACTTGCAAGTCGTGGCCGAGGCGGCGACGGGAGCGGTGCAGAGGTGGATCCAGCTCAATGATGAGGCTACGGCGCGCATAATGAAGAGAGAGGAACACATCGAGTGGCTGAGGAAGCTCTTCACTGGGTGGAAGGAGGCTCGGCCGGCCTTGAGGGAGTCGCGGAGGAGGAGGGATAACGGAGGTAACGTGCAGACAGGCCAGCAGCCAGTGGGACGAACGAGGGCCACGACGGCGGCTCAAGCGGGAGGGAGCGGAGACGGTGGGCAGCGAGCGAAGTGGGTGAGACTGATGATGCTCCTTCGACTTAGGGAGCGGTTCAGCTGCTGGGCGGGCTTCAGGCTGGTGCTCACGCGAAAAGGAATCGACGCGATGTGCAAAGCATACAAGAAGAGGAGAAAGAAGAGGACGGACATCAGTGATGACGAAACAGAAGCTAGCGCAGACGAGGGCAGGGCAGACCCGGGGACGGCGGAGTCGGAGCAGACGGCATCGGCCGCCGAGGAAACGTTGGGAAGAGGCACGAGGAGGGCGGCGACCTCGACCGACTACGGAGGACCCGTCACCAGACGACGCAGGGCAGACGACGGGGAGGCGGAGCAGACGCGCAGGGCGAGACGAGGGAGGGAGCAGGATGTTGCTGAGATCAGCAGGAGGATGTACGACGAGATTAGGAGCAGCAGGGACCCGAGGGACCATGTGGAAGACGGCTAGTGCTAGTCCCCCATCGGGAGGACGACCCCGGCTAGTCGCCGACCACACCCACAAAGAACCCTGCACAAAGACCGCAGGGCGGGGACCTGTTCCTTTTTACCCATCTCCTAGTAGAGGTGTCCGTTTTATTTATTTATTTTTTCCAAGTTGGACGCCGTTGGACGTATCCAGTGTTCACTGTCTACGTGTAGCGACGGGCGCTGCGCGATAGCTGCTTTGTGGGTCCCGTGAGCCAAGTCGGCGTCGGGCTGCGCAGCCGGTCGCTAAATGTTCGCTCGCCGTGGTCACAAGCCATCGAGGAAGCCACCATACCAGGGCCACAATCGCGTTGCGGACCAGGTTTGTGACCCTGGCGGTGGCGAGCCTTTGGCGCACAGCGTGAGCATGCCAGCACGGCTCGCATCAGGGCTGCACCCGTCGCCGAGCACCTCGTGCACTCCACACGGATCGGGTGATGCCACGAGCCCGCTGCGCGGCTGCACCGAGTGGCTCTCTGTGGCAGGGAGTGCACTTTTATGCCACATGTACATGTTGGCGTTGCCTCGCAGCATGCCGAGTGGGCCTTCTGTCTCTGAGGAAGAACCGAAATGCAAATTCGCGCCCTGCCGATCTCCGAGTGGTCAACCGGAGAGGTCTGTGGACACGTGTGCAGTCGAGGCAGCCGCGATCGGCGCGTCTCTGGCA